ATCGTCCCCTCCTCCCTGGCCATGTTGGGTTTCACTTCTTCTTACTTCGGCCGCTCAGAGTGGGTTACTTCCTGCCAGATGTCTTGATCCCAGCATTCAGGCATCCCCTTTGCTTGCAGCCACAGTTGTATTTGAGATACAGTTTTCTGAGCCCAAGTAAGATCCTGCCGTTCGGGGTCTTGGGCCACAGGGTCGTCGTGCAGCACCAGGCCCTCGGTTACCGCCTCGGGTGGCATATCTCTCTAGACTCTGTGCAGTCTCCTCCCTGGCGCGATGGCACACCAGGGTGCTTGGATTTCAGGCATGCGTTGAACGCGGTGCCCAGGGGTAAACCGCCCAGAGTTGCCATCCACAGTCATGCCGTTGGCGTCCGTGCTTCTCGCGGCAACGTGAGACGTTCTGGTTTCCTGCCGCTGCGGCTCTGGCCACGCTACTGGCTCTCCCCTAGAGGCCCTTGCCGCAGGAACCCGCGCGACGTGCCTCCTCCTCCCCTCCCCGTCTCACCCTCGCCCTCCTCCCCTCCTCTCCTCTCCTCTCCTGTCCCGATGGTGAGGCAGTGCTTTCGATGCCCTCAGCCTATCTCGACTTTCGCATCTGCTCTCGGAGGAAAGGGAGGAGGAGGAGGAGGAGGAGGAGGAGGAGGAGGAGGAGGAGGAGGGGAGGAGGAGGAGGAGGAGGAGGAGGAGTAGGAGGAGGGAGGAGGCGGAGCGGAGGCGGAGGCGGAGGCTGAGGCGGAGACGGAGGCGGAGGCGGAAGGCGGAGGAGGAGGAGGAGGGAGGAGGAGGAGGAGGAGGAGGAGGAGGAGGAGGAGGAGGAGGAGGAGGAGGAACAGGGGAGAAGGGGGAGGGGGAGGAGGAGGAGGAGGAGGAGGAGGAGGAGGAGGAGGAGGAGGAGGAGGAGGAGGATAAGGAGGAGACGGATGATGGTGATGAGGGATGATGATGATGATGATGATGATGATGATGATGATGATGATGATGATGATGATGATGATGATGATGATGATGATGATGATGATGATGTTGATGATGTTGATGATGATGATGATGCTGATGCTGATGCTGATGCTGATGATGATGCTGATGATGATGCTGATGATGCTGATGATGATGTTGATGCTGATCATGATGATGTTGATGATGATGATGCTGATGACTAATCCTACGGCGAATACGAACACGCATCATACACTAAGCATACTCGTGATAAACATACGGCGAATTCTACAACGAATACTAATACGAAGCATACGAGGAATACTACGACGCAGACAAAACCTAATCATACTACGCACACCACGACGACCACTGATTCTACGACGAATACGACGGCGAGTCATAGGACGACGAATATCACGATTACTAACACGGCACCTGCTCATACTAATACGACGGGCAAGACTAGCACGAACACGACTACTACGAATACTACGAATCTAATTGCGAATACGCCGACACCTGATACTACGAATACTACTACGACGACGAAAACGACTAAGGCGACTGATACTATTCGGACTGATAAATTTACGACGACTGCGACCATGCTTACAACTAAGAATAATAATGCGAATAATACGGCGAACAATACACATACCACTAACACAACGACGACTAACACTACTGATAGTATATTATAAAGAAAAAGGGTACTAACAATCATGTCCGAGCACTACCAATAATACCACTACTCATACTACGAAACATGCGACGAAGAGGAGGCGGAGGAGGAGGAAGATGAGGAGGAGGAGGATGAGGAGGGGGATGATGAGCATGACGAGGAGGAGGATGATGATGAGGAGGAGGAGGAGGAGGCGGAGGCGGAGGCGGAGGCGGAGGAGGAGGGGGAGGAGGAGGAGGGGAGGAGGAGCAGGAGGAGGAGTGAGGAGGAGGAGAGGAGGAGGAGGAGGAGGAGGAGGCGGAGGAGGAGGAGGAGGAGGAGGCGGAGGCGGAGGCGGAGGCGGAGGAGGATGGGGGAGGAGAAGGAGGAGGAGGAGGAGGAGGAGGAGGAGGCGGGAGGAGGGAGGGGAGGCGTTATGAGGCGGAGGAGGAGGAGGAGGAGGAGGAGGAGGAGGAGGTAGGAGAGGAGGGGAGGATGAGGATGAGGATGAGGAGGAGGAGGAGGCGAGGAGGAGGAGGAGGAGGGGAGGAGGAGGAGAGGAGGGAGGAGGAGAGGATGGGAGGGGGGGGAGGAGGGAGGCGAAGGAGGAGGAGGAGGAGGAGGAGGAGGAGGAGGAGGAGGAGGAGGGGAGGAGGAGGAGGCGGAGGCGGAGGAGGAGAGAGGAGGAGGAGAGGAGGAGGTGGAGGAATACTTCTACGGATAATAGTAATGAGAGAGGCGAAACACAATACTACAATACATAATCAGGAACATAATAAGAGTGGACGAAGAGAGAGGAGAGGAGGAGGAGAAGAGGCGGAGGGGAGGAGGAGGAGGAGGAGGAGGAGGAGGTGGAGGAGGAGGAGGCGCAGGCGCGGGCGCGGGCGGAGGCGGAGGCGGAGGCGGAGCGGGAGGAGGGGGAGGGGACGCGGGAGGAGGCGGAGGATTCCTTCTTATTCTTGAAGGGAGGAATAGGAGGAGGATGAGGAGGAGGAGGAGGAGGAGAGGAGAGGAGGAGGGCGGGAGGCGGAAGGCGGAAGAGGGGCGGAGGAGGAGGCGGAGGAGGAGCGGAGGAGGAGGCAGGCGGAGGAGGACGATGACGAGAACGAGGACGAGACGAGGAAGGAGGATGGAGAGGAGGAGGAGGAGGAGGAGGAGACGAGGGAGGATGAGGAGGAGGAGGAGGGGAGGGGGAGGAGGAGGGAGGAAGGAGGAGAGGAGAGGAGGAGGAGGAGGAGGAGGAGGAGGAGGAGGAGGAGGAGGAGGAGGAGGAGGAGGAGGAGGAGGTCCTGTGCTTGCGCGAGGAAGCCTGCCCAGCAGAGCCGCTCGCGTACCGCACGTGCTGTTGTGGCTGGAGCGACTGAGCTCCGTCCAACACACGGTGCCCCAGCTGCTGCAGGTGCAGGCCTCGCTGCACTGCATCGCGGTCTTGCTTCTGGACCTTAGTTATTCGCTTCGCTCACTCGTCATTCGCACCTTCCTCATCCTATGCCTCCTCCTTTTGCCCCCTTGTCCTCCCTCCTCCTCCTTCTCCTGCTCCCTCCTCTTCTCCCTCGTTCCCGAGGCCCAGGTTCCTCCGATCCAGGCCTCTCTCAAGAATGCCTGGAGGCCTCCTTCAAGAGGCCCCGAAGCCTTCCAGCCCAGCTTTAAGCGTCTCCCAGGGGCCCTTCAGTCAGAAGCCAGGCGACGGCTGGCAAGCACGTGGCTGCTAAAACGGAGCTCCGGGAAATTGTTTTTTCTTCCGGGAAGCAGCCCGTTCACTATTTAGTGCGCTGAGCTTGATTCCGGGAATTTGTTATTTTCTTCCGGAAAGACCGCTTTAGCAGCCACAGATTTGCTAGCCCTCGCCCAGCTTCGAATTCAGGTGCCCCACAGCGGCTCTGAAGCTTCTTTGGGAGGCTCTGGGGCTTTCCAAGGGGCTCTGGAGGCTCTCCCAGAGGTTGTGGGGCCCCTCCCAGCGGTTTTAGGCCCGGGCGTGGTGATACCTAGGAGCAAGTCGTGGGCAAACCTAGAGATGTTGAAGCGCCTCGGAAGAGGTGCTGTTAAGACCTCCTCGGGATATCTGGACAAGGGAATATCGGACCCCCTTTGCAACAAAAACGAAGGATGAGGGGGGTATCTCATGATGGATATATTCTTTACGCGTACTCATAGAGCATCCGACTAAACTGATAATGATAGTTGTTGTTGTTGTTGTTGTCGTCGTTGTTGTTGTTGTTGTTGTTGCTGCTGCTGTTGTTGTTGTTGTTGCTGTTCCCGTTGCTGTTGCTGCTGTTGCTGTTGTTGCTGCTGCTGTTGCTGTTGTTGTTGCTGTTGCTGTTGCTGCAGCTGTTGCTGTTGTTGATGTTGTTGCTGTTGCTGTTGTTGCCGTTGCTGTTGTTGCTGTTGCTGTTGCTGCTGCTGTTGTTGTTGTTGTTGTTGCCCTTCCTCTTGCTGTTGCTGCTGTTGCAGCTGCTGCTGTTGTTGTGGTTGTTGCTGTCGTCGTCTTCGCTGTTTTTTGTAGCTGCTGTTTTTATGGTGATGTTGTTTCTGTTGTTATTAATGTCACTGTTGCTGTTGTTATTGCTGTTGTTATTATTCTTCTTGTTGTTGCTGCTGCTACCACTGCTGCTCCTGTTGTTGCGGTTGTTGCTGCTGCTGCTGTTGTTGTTGCTGTTGTCATTGTTGTTGTTGTTGTTGTTGTTGTTGTTGTTGTTGTTGGTGCTATTGTTGTTGCTGTTGCTGTTGTTGTTGTTGTAATTGTTGTTATTGTTGTTGTTGTTGTTGTTGTTGTTGTTGTTGTTGTTGTTGTGGTTGTGGTTGTTGTTGTTGTAGTTGTTGTTGTTGTTGTGGTTGTTGTTGTTTTTGTTGTTATTTTTGTTGTGATGGTTGTGGTTGTTGTCATTTTTTTTTTTTTTTTTTTTTTTTTTTGAAATCTCATTCAGGAAGGATAAAGGATTTTTGATCCCCCCACTGGTGCACATTGTGTTTTCCAATTGAAGTGCCCCCCTCTGGTCTCGCACCGTGCTTTTCATGAAGGGAAGTCTTCGTGCTCAAACTGTGATGTTAGCCCTTCCTGGCTACAACAACAGCGGCTCCCACCCAATGCTGCCTGACCATTGATTCGAACAGCGCGCTCTCGCGATGCACTTCTCCACACCTTACGCAGGGATCGCGCTCTCGCGTGGGACTTCCTCACGACTTATCCACCACCCTCCAGGCCAGGAGGCCCGTGTGGGCATTATTCAGGAGGGAAAGAAACACACAGACACAATTAATCGGCGATTCCCCGGAAAATATGGGAAAATATGGGAAGTGGGGGGGAAGACAAAACCCAGAAAATATTGGAAAATATGGGGAATCTTTTTATTTGTGTGTATTTATTTGTGTGTATCAGGGCCCCTTCAATTCTGCCGCTCCAGGTGGCGCCCGACTGGTGGATGGCAACCGCGCCCACGGGCCACCCGTACTACCACAACACCGCGACGGGCGAGACCACGTGGACGGAGCCGGAGGCGGTCAAGCAGCACAAGCAGTCCCCGTCGGGCTCGCAGTCGGTGGAGCAGTCGGCCATGGCCTACCTCTCGACCATTCGGGCCGGACGAAAGGGGGGGATTGGGAAAGGGGGGGTTACGAAATTTGCTGCATGCAGCTGGTTTGGGCCCCACTGAGGGGCCCATTCCTCGATACATAGCCGCCTCTGGCGCCAGGAGGCGCCGGGAAAATCAGCTACGTGAGCTGATTCTCAAACCCCCCCTTTGCTATCCCCCCCTTTCGCCCGACCCGAACCATGAACCAGGGCGGCAGCAGCGGTCAGAGCGTCGTGCAGCAGCAGGGCGACGGTGGCGCCAGTGCCTCGAATCTCATCACGGGCGCCGACAACCCTGACATCACGGTAACGGGCAACGGCCACATTCCACAGCCGTGGACCACCTTCGATCAGGTCCAGATGCCGCAGATGTTGATTCGTAGTCTTACGACACATCCGCCGACGCCTTTTTTGCTTTCGGGTGCAGCGGGAGTCCCCATGAGGCCCCAAGAGGGTACCTCAAAGCTCGACGAGATTCCAGGAGAGCTCCGATTGACTATCGGAGCCTTACCAGAGGATTGCACTCTGTTTTCGAGCTGGCCGAAGACCTGCACGACGCCCCAAACAAAAATGGGTTTCAGATCAGATCTATCAGCAGATTTTCTGCGGAAGACGCCTGAACGCCAATAGCGACGCGCAAAGTTCGGTCTACCAACGGACCCTAGAGCTCTTCGTGACGCACATTGTGTGGCTCTTAAATGTGCCGACGGGGAAGGGCGACGTCGAAAGCTCAGACCGTCGAAGCCCCAGTGTTCGAGCGGTGGCGGCTACAAATCGGCACCCTGAAATGCAGGTCATGCGAATGATGCCCGTTTGGGTGACCAGTGTGGAGATCGACTCTGAAATGGCGCTACATGTACCGAAATCCGTGGAAGGAGGACCTGAGAAGAGAGAGCATGAGATTCGAGGAGGAGGCGGAACAGGAAGAGTAGGAGGAGGAAGAGGAAGAGGAAGAGGACGAGGAATACTGCTGCCACTGCTACTGCTACTACTACTACTACTACTACTACTACTACTACTACTACTACTACTACTACTACTACTACTACTACTACTACTACTACTACTAACTACTAACTACTAACTACTACTAACTAACTACTACTACTTACTACTACTACTCACTACTACTACTACTACTACTGCTACTACTACTACGACTACTACTACTACTACTACTACTACTATACTCTACTAACTGCTACTAATACTACTACTACTACTACTACTACTTACTACTGCTATACCACTGCTATTTACTACCACGACTACTACTACTACTCCTACTCAACTCTACTCCTATCTCCTACTCTACCATACTTCCTACTCCTACTCCTACTCTACTCCTACTCCTTACTCCTACTCCTAGTCCTACTCATATTCCCTCCTGCGATCCTCCTCCTCACTACTTACTGCTGCACTGACTACTACTACTACTACTAATTACTACTACTACTACTACTACTAATACTACTACTACTACTCCTACTATACTACTACTGCCCCTACGAAAGTTTTCCTTGGAAACCCAGAGGAAATAATATGATGTTAAGCCCGTCGGCCAATATGAAAGTCGCGCGCGCGAGCTCAGCGTTCGAACGCACGCGATCCCAAGACGCCCCATGGCCACAGCATGCTTCCAGGAATGCCTCAGGCCACGGACAATGACGCCCAGTGGACCCAGGATGATGCCACCCCAACGCGATCCGGCAGGGATCTGGACCGTC